CTTCAAATCACTTTGATACACTCCTAGAGAGGACTGTTCCAGAGAACACATCAAGGTTGCTGGTATATTTGCTGGATTGCTGTTCACCTGGACTTCTGGAATATGGACGACTGAGACTGGTATTGCCTCCCAAAACCTAATACTCCTAACCAGCTCTTGTCCCTACTAACCTGCTTTTTTCCTAACTAGTGTGTGTGTGTATGTGGGGTGTGGTGGGTGGGTTGGAGGGGAAGTAGAGGCATTTAAGAACTTTAAATAAAGTAGGTTTTTGAAACATCTGAGCCTACAGTCTCCCTCATCGATGGCCTGTCAACATTCCCTGGACATTACTGATTTTGGATAAATTACAGGTCATGATGCAATAGTTAATGTGTAAGAGGTTAAAAGCATGATTCTCAATAACAGACTAGAATTAAAGCTTAGTTTCACCACAATTACCTATCTATATTCCAATATTTTCAGTGGTAAAGTTGGAATGATAAAAAAGGTTGTTTGAATGCAAAATTTGTTAAGTCAGTGGGCAAGGTGTTGAAAGCCTGCAACCCCAACAACTTCAAAGGCGGTGGTGGGAGGATCTTGAGTTCAAGGACAGCCCAGACAATTAAAAACCTCGCCTCAATAAATTATATATGTAAACTTTATAGATGTGTAAATACACATATCGAAACACAACATAAGGAAAAAAAAAAGACAAAAAGCTACAAAGGCATATGTGCAAATATTTTGTCCACTCCTGGACACATAAAATGGCACCTAAATATTAGCTAATTGTGGCAAATGTTGGGGAATTAATTAAATTGAAGGATAATTTAAGGATGGTATAATTCCAAATATTAACCAAAATTCTGCCCAGTCCAAGACGGACTACTAAATTAATTTCTACAATCTATACATGTTATTGTCTACTCAGCGCAGTGTAACGTTAGCTCTTGGCTTTGTTATTTTCCTTAATGAAATCTACTTGAGGGAGCAGTCTCGAAGGTAAAATAAGTCGCCTCTAGGGAAAAGCTCGCTTTAAACTATAAAAGACAGTAATCATAAGGGTTGGATTTCATTGGGAGTTCAGAAGAGCGCTTTCTTAACTCAAGCCACTTTCCCACAATGCTTCCGTAGCTTTCCTGTCCCTGTTCCCCAGGAGGACTTCAGTGTTTTCTTTGTAAAAACTTCCTGGACGAGAGAACCTTCCCCTCTACCTGCATGCAGCAAGTCGAAGGCCAAGACAACTGCACGTCAATCCAACCCTCTCTGACTAAATCCTGACACCGCGCGGATTTCCGGAGCGCAGCTGCTAATCCCGACGTGCCTACCAGTGAAGTTATCTACCGTCCACGAGCCCCAGAGCACGCTGGGAAAAACAGTTCCCGAAGGCTGGAGAGTACCCCGTGGGCGCCTGCGCACTAAGAATTCCTTAAGCTCTTCCGGATAAGGAAGCTGCGACGCTGCCACGCACCCTGCGGGTCCACGGGCAGAGGCTTCTGGGAGTTGTAGTCTCCGGCGGTGGGCGCCGTCGGTAGGGAGACGTAGCTTTCAGAGCGGTCCACTCCAGCAGTTGGTTCCCGGCCGCGGCCGAAGGGTCAGTTAGCGCTTCTCTGCTCACCGCATTTCTCTCTAGGCTGAGGAGAATTTCCTGTGGCTCGGCTTTTCCTGCCCCGGGTGGAGGGTCCTCGTGACTCCGGGGTTCATTTCTGTTTCTAGTCTTTCCCCCCCTCGCCCGTCGCTCGAGTCCGGGTTTGGCGGGGACTCGTCCTGGGGCGACACAGGGCCGCGACCTCTTCAGACCTGGTCGGTTGCCATGTGGCGGGGTCTGTGCGCCTCCCGCCGCGACCCCGCGGCTCCCCGGCAGCCGCCCGCAGCCTCGGACGCCCGCTCACGCTCCTTCTCCCCCTTTATCTCTCCGCTGCAGGGATGGACCCTTCCTGGCGCCAGGTGGCCGCTGGCCGAGGCCGAGCCCGGGGACGGGCCGCCACAGTCCCCTCCTCTGGAAATGGAGTCCCCCTTGGCGGCGCAGGAGGAGGGCGAGTCAAAG